TTTTACTTTTTACATGAGAATCTCAAACATCAAGAGTAGATGTTAACGGTATAATGAATCTCCGCATGCCCATCACTCAGCTTCAGTAATGATCAGCTCATGGACAAGTATGTTTCATCTTTGTTCCCACTTCTCTCACAAATCTCAAAACAAACCTCACACATCCTATCATTTCATCTGCAGATAGTTCAGTATTGCCATTGGCTTTTGAAGTTCTCTTTACACTGCATCAAAGAACTGGTGTTTTATTTGGTTTTGACAGAATCTACTTATTAGCGTGTTATTTAAAATGTGTTGAGGAAAAATTTAAAAATGCAGAAATAAACATTAATAGAATGAGATCTCTGGGTTTCATCTCCCAGTTTTCAATGATTGTTCAAATGAAGTCTTGTTTCATTTTTACCCTGTCTTTCCTCACTGGATTGTTTACGGTAGTTCCTAGACATACAGTTTTACTAGCAAGTACTGCACATCGTATAGCTAGATGGTAAGAACTTCATTAAAAATAATCATAACTTTAAAAATAATTTAACATCATCTAATGGCCATCAAATTTCCCAGATTGTCTCAAAAAGGGTTTTTTTAATAGTCATTTGAGTCGGGATCTAAAAGAAGAGCCACACATTAGCCTGCTTTTGTAAGCCTTTTTAAGTCTATTTGTTCGAAGAAATTAACTTTTAAGTCTTTCACATCTGGATTTTGCTGATTGTTTCCGTATGATGCAGTCTTTTTTTTTTTTTTTTAACATTTTCCCCTTATCTTTGAAATGTCCTATAGCCGGTGAATTATGTCTGGAGCTCGATGGTCAAGATTCATCAGATTCAGTTTGTTCTTGTTTGACAGAATAGTGCCGAGGCTGAGCCGGGCACTTGCTGTTGCATCCCCTTGGGCAGCACAACAGTCAGTGGGCCTGGGTGTACTGGCAGCCTGACCCAGTGATTGTACAGGCCCCCTCCAGCCTTTGGCCTCATGCTTTAGGCAGCAGTTGAGGATTATGTCCTAGATCATTTATGTCACTAGGGTTGCCACTTCTCATCAATTTAAAAACATGTAAAACATTCACATGGTTCAAAGTTTTAAGGGATATGAAAGGTATGTTGTGAAGCTTCTACTGCTCCATTCTTCAGCCACCTGTTTGGCCCCACAGGTAACCAGTTCACCTTTCTTGTATTACCTTTCGAGACTGTGTGGATACCTGAGGGGAGATGTATCTCTACCTCTTTTTTTTTTTTAAACACAAATAGTAATCTATTGTACACATGTTCTACATCTGCTCCCTTCTCTTTTTTTGTTTAAACTTTTCAGTATATCTTTGAGATTATTTTCTGCTGTTTATTTTACTTCATCCTTTTTGTGGCTACATAGTATTCCAAAGGATGGTTATCAGTTTTATATGACTGGTGCCCTGTTGATGGTTATGGTGCTGCATTACACATTACCACATTGTGAGTGTATCTGGGAGGGATCCCTTGAAGAGGGACATTTGGCTCAGGAGGGATGTGCTTTTGTCATTTTGGTAGATAGTGTCGTGGTGGTCTCCAGAGGGGTGAATACTCCCACCAGCGATGTGTGAGAGTTCCCATTTTCATGTCTTCACTAATAGAGTGAGTTACCAAACTTTTGGTTTTTGCCAGTCAGAGAGGTATTTCTTTGTAGGCCTGACAGGATTGTCATAAAGGTGTTTCTTTACGTAGGTGTTCTCTGCCTAGACCCTCAGCTTGCACTGATGACTGGGACCTCTGGCACTTTTCCACTCAGGATCCACCCAAAACAGGTTATCTGGGAAAAGGTAGCTCCTGATCCTTACCAGTGGCTCCTTGTAGTCCAGCTAAGCCTCGGCCTGACAAGGGCCAGGCCTTGATTTCTTGAAGTGTTATACCCAGGAATTCCCTAGGAGAAGGTGCATAGTATCTGCTATTAGGTCATCTTTATAAATTTCTCAATTCTCATTTCAACATTTCAAATTTCTCAACTTGGACACAGGCAAACAGCACTATTAATTCATTAATTTAGAGCAGCATGTTTCTTTGACAGGTTTCCAGACCAACACCATTTCAGCTAATTTCCAAACTGTCTTTGATATACAAATGAGGCCAGTTCTGATTATACCTAGTCTGTCTTGCAGGTGTGCAGTGTGATAGTTGTGTTTTATCAGTCAGTTCTTACCCTGGTTAGAGTTTCTGAGTGACTCTGGGCAAGTTATTTTTGTACTTTCCTATTCATCTATAAACTGGGTTGGCGATAATTGCCTCAGAACTGTGAATTAAGTGTAGGGATTTTGGAGTCAAACCACAAGGATCCTTGCATCCTAACGCCATTGCTCAGGAGTTTGGATACTATGCCTCCATTTCTTCATCTGGGAAATGGGTACCTTGAGGGTCCCTGTGCAGCTGTGTTGAGGCTGTATTGTTTCTGTGACTGTTCGGTTGACAACATAGGCTGGTCTCAGGCTTAGTGATTGCCGGCCAGGGTCATTGCTGCCAGGCAGGCAGAGTCAGGGACAGCACCTTCATGGTGCTGTGTGTGGAGGGACAGCCTCCAGCAGCAGTAAGACCTGTGTGCCTGCCATGTGCCAGTCCTGTCCTCAGGTACCCTGAGTGGTTTGTGTTTTATCACACTACCCCTGAGTTACAGAGTGGATTGGATTACTTCTCGTAAGTGGTGGATTATGATTAGGACTTAGTTTTTAGGCTCCAGTACTTTTTTTTAAACCTGCTCTTTGGTTTAGGAACCAATCTGAAATTGAGAAGCACATTGAAGAGAGGGAGGAGCAGTGAAATAGAGCCAAGAAGGTGGCAGATATCTCTGCCCTCTACCTGTTACATGTTGTGAAGTTTACTGTCTGATTTTTAGCTTATTAGGTGATCTGAGTCCATAGCCAGTTTGTATCTGCTTAAGATGCAAGTGGTTGCACTGGCAGAATTGCTAGATGTCTGTTCCCCACTCAGCCCTTGTTGAGTGGATCCCTGGCTCTGTCTTGGGTGTGAGATCACTTTTCTTCGGTAGACAACAGAGGAATTCTGCACCGAAGTCTCAGCACCTGTGCATAAGTGACTCTGGGTTATCTCAGGCGGATCTATTAGGAGCTATTGTCCTAGTTGAGCACATGTGGGGCGTGACTTGAGTCAGCTCACTGGATCTCTGATCCTGGTGAGTCCCTCCCTACCTGTCAGCAGAGCTCAACTCTATGTATTTTCTGGAAATGCAGTGCATGCAGGCAAACAAATGCCAGTAATTTACTATATTGCTTATTTGACTTTAACACAGTGAAATGTTTATCGAGGTTATTGGGGTGACCAACGACAGGAAAGAGGTCCTCAATTCCAAATGCGTGGAGTGAAATGTGGGAGTTGGCCTTGGTGGATGAGGATGCTTTAGCCTTTCTCCAGCATCCTGGGGACATGGCACCATCACAGAGCCTCTTCTCTGTTGTGACCTACTCCCATGTATGCATTCATTTGAAGAGAGTATTTGAGATTTCTGGACAAAATAACCCTCAGTGTCCCTACTGTCAGGTCACACTAATCCTTGTAGAGTGCTTTCTTATCAGCTGACCTGCTTTTTCCTGACCATATTTGGGGGGAGGGACATAGATTATCACCACTTGGTGTGTTGGCCTAACTTTCATCTGCCTTATTATCATTTTCACTCAGAACTTTCTTTTCGCTATTTTTTGGTGGTAGATCACACTGTCTAACCCTGTCATCCACTGCTAAACTCACTTGCTGTGTATTTAATTGACGCTGACATTAGCAGGCTGACTCACTGGTGTAACTTAGGAGGTGCCTGACAGTTGGAAAAGTGATGGCCTATTTGTATGTTTATCTGAAGTTATACTGGGGCCTTTGACTAGTTTGGGCAAACTAACTGCCTGGCGTTTGTCAACACTTATTAATTAGTATTTTATTGTTTTCCACCAACTCTTTTCAGAGTGTCTTTTCCTTTATCTCTTTGGGTAAGTAGTAACCAGTTTTCCCGCTACTTTAGATGGTAGGCAATAACTAAACGTGTTCACAGCTCTCAGTAACATTTGTTCTATTGTTTTGTTTTGAGGTGGAAGGGGGAACTCTACCCTCAGAACATGAGGGAATAATATTTACGTGGCTCACAAAGACCAGTGAGTACATCATCTGCATCTCCCACAACTCACCAGGAGAGGGCCTCTAACATTAGTCTCAGTCTAGCCTTTTCTGTCCCTCAGAGAACACTGTTAGTTATGGCCAAGTGTTTTAATTTTCCTCACAGATTTCTTGGAAATGTTATTGAGGGATGGGGGTTCTTTTGAAAATTTTGGAAATAAATAAATCAGTTGAGAAGACCTTGCTTCTGAACGATCATTTGGTTTTACAAAGCCCCTTGATTTAATGTGATTGTGGACATGTTAGCTGTAGTGTAGTTTAAGATCTTCCCACTGAACCCGCAGGCTTTAAGAAATCAACCCAGGAGTGTATTTCCTATCGAACAGATGAGTTCTGGGGTCGTCTGTATGTCATTGATTGTAGCTCTCTGCTTCCCCTGAACCAGGCGATGGATCACTTGGAGTCCTTTATCGCTGAGTGTGATCGGAGAACTGAGCTTGCCAAGAAGCGGCTGGCAGAGACGCAGGAGGAAATCAGTGCAGAAGTTTCTGCAAAGGTATGCTGGGATGCCTTCGCCTCAAGTTGTTGATGTAAATCACCGTCTTGTGAAAACTGGGCTGCCATCTAGCTAGCAGCTCACTGTCAGCAATGGTTGTGCATCTTTAGGGTGGATGGAACTTAGAGCCTTGGCTGTTCTTCTAAGGAGGGAAGGCCATCACCAAGTTCTCACCCCAAGGGGCTGTAGCCTCTGTCCCTCCCGACACCGTTCATGTTTTTTGAAGTTTGTTTTTTTAATGTTCCTCCATAATAGGAAATGGGAGAAAGTTAGTAGGGAAATGGTTAAACTATGGTGCATCCATATCATGGAAGAAGAAAGTAGATCTGTTTAGAATTGACCTGTGTGTCGTCTGAGTTACTCTTGTTGCCTCTTCAGCAGAACTCTCTTCAGTGTTTTTTTTCCTTTCAGTTTTATAAAAGCATTTCTTAGGAAATAGGCAGTTGCTAACTGGACCAAAGATGCTGTTTTATTTCGGACAGCAAATCCCAATAATTAGGCATTTTGCTTACAGTGTAAGTGTATGAATTTAAATGCACGCATTTTATTACCCTTACCTGGAAGAATGATCTGTAATAGAAGACATAAAAAGACAGCCTAGAAACTGACCAACACAATGATCCTTGCAATCTGTGGGAAGTAAGAGGTGCTGCTGCTTTTATTGCAACACAGTGCTTGGGTTTCGTTTATGGTCAGTCTCAGTGGTGGCAGTAGGGGTGTGGTAATCGTTAGAATTCGCATATGATCAGTGAGGGTTTCAGCCTGTTTATTTTCGGTGAAAAAAACAAATGCAGTGAAACACTCATTTTCTTTGCATTAAAAAGTCTTTTGGTTTTAGATGTCTGCTTACCTGATTGTTTTTCTCTCTCCCAGGCGGAAAAAGTACATGAGTTGAACGAAGAAATAGGAAAACTTCTTGCTAAAGCTGAGCAGCTGGGAGCAGAAGGAAATGTGGATGAATCCCAAAAGATTCTTATGGAAGTGGAGAAAGTCCGTGCAAAGAAAAAAGAGGCTGAGGTTGGTGAGAAAAATGTCTTAGAGAAGAAGGAAACTTAGTAACTTCAGAGAATTGACCATTTGGGCTAAAATTAAGCTGTGCCTCCATGTTTTGAATATTGGGAAGGAGTTGGAAATAGGGTGGTATATTGGCAGGATAGTAGGATTGAGAGTCAGCACATACTTGAGTTTGTGTCTTTGCTCTGCCCCCATGACCCCTGTGTGGCCTCAGACTAGTCTGTTGCCAGCTCTGAGCATAATTTCCATGTGTGAAGTGCAGTCCTGAGTGTAAAAGTCAGTGGGGGAGTGTTAGTGAGCACCTCGTGTCTGTTCCTCTGGCTCCCATGAAGTTGAGGGGCCATGGTGGGTGTCAGCTTGTGTGATTGGGCTGGACTTGTGTGGATGCTGTGAGAATAAGGCCTGGTGTTCTTAGTGATGCCATGTCTTCAGTGGAGAGATCCGTATCGGTTGGGGTGGCAGCCAGGTGCCTTTAGGACCCAGTGTTTCTATCAGTGACAACCGTCTTCTTCCTAGATTATTTTCTTTATTGGATCCTCTCTGGTTCTCCGGTCCTCACCACTGGAATTGGATGTGGCTTGGGTTGGCTTCTAGAGTGGTGGGAATGGTAGAGTCAGAGGAAGACATGGATAGGTGTGTTGCTTTAGTTGGTGCTCATTGTGTGACAGGCACTTTTATAGTTATGAGCAAGCTGGGAGATTCCCTTCTCTGGTGGAGATGGCACTGGTGTGGGGCAAGGTCCAAAGAGTAGAGGTGTGAGCAGCGGATAAGATTGACTGATGAAGATGGGTGCTTAAAATAAATGTGATCTCGGTTTGAGAGTGACTTGGAGTACAAGGTGTCTCCAGGTAGGGCAGGGTGATCCTGGAAGGCCCCTTAGCTGAGACCCAGATGAGAAGGTTCTCAAAATGGAGGGGTAGGGAGGCTGAGTGGGGTGAGATTGCAAGTAGACTCCCTAGTGCAGGGCTGGTTTTGGTTGTTGCTGTACCCCTGGCTCATGGTGTCTGACACATAGTAGGAGCTCAGTGATGATAAACTGAATGCATGAATAGTGCCCAGGACCTGTGGGTGTGGGAGTGATACCCACTGAGGCAGTGATGTAAGTGAAGAGATCATTGTCAAGAGTGCTTTCCAGATTGAGGTCAGCAGCGCTTGTCTGTGGGGAGATGGTGCTGAGCTGATGCATTGTGCCCCTGACCACCCAGCACCCCCTTCCGTGACGTCTGTAGGTGATATATATAGCCCATTCTTAACAGAAAGAGGGGAGGAGACAAGCACTCACAATGTGAACCTGCATATTTAAGTCCTGCGTTTTGCACAGAATTTAAATCCTTGTATGTTTATGTAAGTCCTACATAAAAATTCTTAGAGGGTCTAAATCTGTATACTTAAATAGGAAATTTGTGTTTATATGTAGAAAAAAGTCAGGCCCCCTGGACTGCTGACAGCTTCAGCAGAAAGGCTAGAGGGTCAGGAAGGAAGCTCTGGCCTCTGGGTGAATCCCGAGGCCAAGCCCTTCTGCTTTGAAGAGCAGAGCAGTCACCAGAAACTGTTAGGTGTCTCTGAGGTTTGTGCGTAGGCTAAAGTAATTGTAGGGAGTCACCACTCGGATGTCTGCAGACAGCTGAAGGGGCAGAAGGATATGGGTCACAGGGCTGCTTATGCCCAGGACTGCCGAGTGTCCTTGCCTTGGCCACTGTCCCCTGTCTCCATCACGCAAGTGCCCCCAGGTGGCAGTGCCCCTTCCTTAAAACCACCAGGCAAGACAAGATGGTGTCGGGGAGACCTCGGCAGTGCTGGTCTCTGTAGTGCCCTTTCTGCCCTCATTAGCGGGCAAGGCTGTTTAGGAGTCCTAAGAAATAATACAGAGAGATGCTCTGTGCTGTTTACCCAGTTTCTCCCAATGGTACCGTCTTAAAAAACTATAGCATAACATCTCATGGAAA